AAATAAAATAATATAAAAAATAATAAAAAAATATGTATTTAATAAATTATTAATTCAATAATTACAATTATTAAATATATATAATCTTAAATTTTTATGACATTGCTATTTATATTAACATTATATTAATATGTATATGAATATACATTAATCTGTCAAATGCATCACATGAACTACTGCCTCAGAACTCTATTGATACACTGATCTTACGCCACCTAGTGTCATTAGTGAACTCCACATGATCGATTGATAAACTGTAAAAGTATAAACAGTTAGTGCAAGCCTAATGTTATGAGGCTGGGGAGGAAGAAGATGATGAAGACTGGTATACTCTGATGTCTGGAGTTTCATTTAGCGTTCACGTCCTGTGCGTCATGACTTTACAAACAGGTGTAAGAGAAACGTCTGTGCACCTGCACACAAGCACAAACTGCTGCCTGTTTCTGCCAGTTAGTTTTGTTTTCTGGCTTTATTTTTCTGCTTATTGGCCACATACGAGCAGGGACTTCTGGGATACTGGAGCAGGCTTTGGCATGCCAGCGCCTGAGGGAGGAGAATGCCGTCTGTGCGTGCCACTGACTCGTTTAAAACGCTCTCCCCCCGTTTGTCTGGGGCACTGGGTCCATTTGCAAACAGAAACAGAGAAAGAGAGAGATAAACATACAGCTCCATTTCAATTTCCTCAGACCATGCTCTCCCTCCCTCTTTCTCTCAGAGGGGTGTTGACTTTCTCTTTTACCCGTTTGGGGGGCCAGAATCTGATTTGCACTAAGGAGAATTCAAGATTTCAGCTGCCTTGATTGAACTGAAATGGCCACAAATTCCTGCCAGTCTCCACAGTTTTACTCGTGCACACACACACACGCAGGTTTGTTTTTGTGAAAAGTGGGGACATCCCATAGGCGTAATGGTTTTTCTACTGTACAGACCGTATATTCTATTGCCCTACACCAACCCTACCCCTAAACCTACCCCTCACAGGAAACTTTGTGCTATTTCAGATTTTCAATACACACAAACTTTTATTTTGGATGCGATTAATCGCGATTAATTGTTTAACAGCACTAGTTTTTATTATTTTATGTTTTATTGTATTAATTTTTTTTCTAATTTATGTAATGGTTTTATTTCTTTAAAAAAAGATAATAAAATAATTAAAATAATAAATTAATAAAATAAAATGATTTTGCAGCAAACTTTGTTAACCTTAGTTAACTACAATAGTTAACATGAACGAACAATGAAAAGTTCTTCTAAAGCATTAATTATTCATAGTTAATGTTATTTTTAAAATCAAAACTTTTACCTCTTAATTATTTAATGAGCCTGAGCTGACATGAACTAACAATGAACAGGTGTATTTTTGTTAACTAACATTAACAAACATTCATAAACACTATAAACCGTTGTATTGCTCATCGTTTGTTAATTTCAACACACTGATACGTTTTTAAAATCAAAACATTTATTTGTATATATTATATATAGTGGTGGGATTGCCGCCACAAAGTCTGTGGGGAAACATTGTGATGTGTACTGTGTTCTTAGAAACCTCTTAGTCTGGTTCAGTGTTGTGATATGTATAGGTTCGCTGTGTGGGGTGGTAGTTCATATTTAACTGCCATGACATGTAATTTCTTGGCTGTTTCCTCGATCTGCGTGTGTTTTAGGGGTAGAGAGAGTGACTGGTTGAGTTTAAGTGAGTCTGGCGGCCCCTGGGGTGTCTGTAATAGGAGCTGGAGGTGTCCTGCTGTCAAAGAGCGTCTGAACAAGCTCACACACACACACACACACACACACACACACACCAGACGAGATTAATTACTAAAAGCGGAAATCTGACAAATGAGTTGAGAAACAGCTGCAAACCAGATATAACAGCCAAACTGTAGACGCTGTTTACCCTCATTACCCTCACAGACACACATTCACTCAGACTCAGTGTCTCCCTCTAGTGCCTGACAGGATATTTACAACATGAACGTTTCCAGAACAGAGGTTTTCAACCTTTTCAAACCCCTTGGTGGCGTAACCATAAAAATACTAATAATAACAATAATAAAACAACCCATTATTGATCCCTTTTTGAAGACCAGTGCTCTAGAGATTTACTAGTTTGCTGTGTTTCTCAGCAGAACCATCTCACACATGATCTACATTAGTCTCAGTGGAAAAACTTTAAAAACTGAGAAAAAAAAAGAGCAGGAAACCATGTGGTATAACCCATCATTTTGTGACATTTTCCACTTTTAAATATTACAGTTTGATGTTTCTGACAACATTTAAGGGAGTGAATTCGCTTTTTTTAACCAAGGATTTAAATAGAGGTAGATTTTTTTCTTACACAGTATTTTTTTTCATTATGTTTACACTCTCATGTTTTATATTAATATCAATATTACCAATAACATCAATGTTAATATTATTAAAGTCTATTATTGGGAAAATAACAATTACAAATATTAATTAACATTATTAATAAATAAATATTCATAAAAATACAATTTTCTGC